CTGGCCTTTGGCCGGTCGCCAAATTGGCGATCGATTGGAGGAAGGAGGGAGGGGAGGGAAAAAAAGGAAAAAGAAATAAAAAAAAATAAATTAAAATATTATTAAAATTGTCCATGTCAGCGTCGGTGACCTGCCGCCAGCCAGTCGGTGACCTGCCGCCGGCCGGCCGGCATCCACGTCAGCAAAATCCGGCCAAAATTGATTGAAAAGACTGAATTAACACAAAGACAAAAGGTTTATGACTGAATTAGTACAAATGCAAAAGGTTTATGACTGAATTGACACAAAAAAAAAGTTTAGGACTAAATTGGCATCAATGCAAAAGGTTTAGGACTGAATTGACATCAAAATAAGGTTTAGGACTAAATTGACATAAATACAAAAGATTTAGAACTTTTTTGGCATTTTTCCGCAAGTCCAGAACGAGAAAGATCGAAGTCGATTTTTACCTGCAATTGCCTCAACTCTCACCGAGACCGAGGCAAAGAAAGAATGGATTTGATTTTTGGAGAATATGACCCATGAAGGACCCGTCAATCATTACTTGTGATTTCAAGAAGAAATGGCGTCGACATAGCAAAAATCCCAAGCAAGATTGACGAGTGATTCAGGGATCATATTGGGTCATAATCAATCTCGCACAATCAAAATATGCAGGCAAAACAAGATGAAGTTGATATAGCGGTCTGCTAGACGCGCGCATCCCCCACTGTTGTTCTTCTCCACATTGCCTCCACAAAAGATTGGTATAGCTTTTCTTTCTAGAAGACCATAATGCTAACTTTTGTTTTTTTGGTCAAAGGTAATGCTAACTTTATTAACAAGTTGTAGGGAGTATCTTTTTTTTTTTAGTAGTGATCATCGAATTAATATTTTTAATAAAAAATTTGCATGATTCCATTCAAAGTAGACATAAGCAAGCTCTATGAAATTGAATAACTCAATGATCACGTCGACATAATACTAATTTAGATATCGTACATTTACTATTAGTTCATATTGCAAGCATTCATAGAAAACTTTAAGAGCATAGAGTACATTGGTAACTACATAATAAATGAAAAATAGATAAGAATTTTCAAACTTCAGAACTTAGAATTGCAATTGTGTAAGTATCTGATCATTGTAAATTGAGATGATTGGTGTCAACTTCTTTTACTATTATATTATTAAGTTTATTTTTATCATAAATCGGTCATTTTTTATTACAAAACGATGACAAGTTTTTACTGCAAATTTTCTTTTTGTTGCAAATATTTTCCTTACTTTGTGTTAATGTGTCGCGGGACTAAGTCAACACCTTGAATTTCCCTTTTTAAGTTGGTAAAATATACAAATTCATGTATCTATTGTTAAATGAAAATTATAACCACCAAATTACGAATTTTGTGCGTGTTATTGATCAGGCTTCAAAAGGATTTTATGTTCGCCGTTGCTCGTAATTGTGTTCACTATAGACTATATTGTAAGTAATTGGGAAAATGACACAAATAATCCTTGAACTATAGACTATATTGTAAGTAATTGAGAAAATGACACAAATAATCCCTAAACTTTGGCCAGTGTGCAATGTGATCCTTGAACTTTAACCCAATGTGTAATGTAATCTCTAAACTTTTTTTGTTCAATGTCATCCCTGAACTATTGGTACATGTTAAAATTAGTTATTGAACTATATGAAATTCCATTAATTCAAATTCAGGGCTATATTGAATATGTATCGAAGTTTTGGGGACCTCACTGAACAAATTAAAAATTCAGGGACCGCATTGCACATTCGGCCAAAATTTAGGAACTGTTTGTGTCATTATCCCTAAGTAATTTATAGGCATTCATTACAATGTTAAAAAACTGTATTGATGCGTTCTGACCAAAACTCTTGATCCAAGAAAATAATTATATAAATTGTTACATTGTTAACGTAGAAAAGTGAACTAATCACAGTTTTCAGTAATTGTGAGTTATAGTAAATTGCAAAAAAAGTTTCTTCAGAACTAATCAATTTTGGTCGCAGGTAGCAATGGCCATTGGTTTGGTCCAAGCACAGCCTAATTTTTTCTTTTCTAAGAACAGTGACCCAATGGCGGTCGGGTCATTGTTTAAAAAAAAATTATGGTTGAACGGTCGCATTTTACACGACCATTTGCCCACATAATTCAACTCCTCCTCCTTTCATTTCACTTTCATCCATTTCTCCTTCTTTATCACTCTCTCACAACTTCTTAAAAAAGAACGATTTTTATATACGATATTTCCAATCTTCAAATTTGCAATGGATGCAAATTAGCAGCAGCACCCAACCCATTTCACATATGGCTCGCCAATTCCAAAGAATTTTTTTTGGCAAGGGTCCAATGTTTAGAAGGTTCATATCGTGAACCTCCCCAATGGCAAGAAGAAAGCCATTTGCACGGTATGTGCTGCGAACTTATCTATTAAATCTACTGATGGGACAGGTTACTTGAAAAGGCACCCTCCCAACACAAACATCATGTCGAAATGGTCAAGCCGGTGGAGCTCCTGCCTTTACTACAAGGAGCCATTGAGATTTGTATTTAGTGTTTCGTAGGTGCATGTGTTTGCATTTGTTTGGTACGATGTTTTCAGTCTAAGTCTAAGTCTTATATTCTGTCTTTTGTATTTTTTTTTGCATAATTATCCTTACTTGTTGACTTCCTTCGGAAAAAAACATGATCGAATAATTTATTAGTATTAACATTTTGTTTGTTTTTCCTTTCAATTAATTTTATTTTAAATTTGTTAAAAAAGTATAGAAAAAGAAATCAAAATGTCACAACATCAGCTGGCATGGCCAGTCATTATCACGAGTTATGCCTAACATGACGCAAAAAAGTGTCAAGCCTTCGTGAGCCGCCCTAACACTAGGGGTGATTGGTTCCCAGGTGGGTTCAGTTCTCAGGGGGGTTCAGTTCCACCTTGGAACCAAAAACAAAACCAAAAAGACCAGTTCCCAGTTTGTGGAACTGGGAACTGCCCACCTAGTCTTGGACCCACCGGGGAACTGAATCGACTAGTCTGGTTCGATTCCTGGGTAGGTCTAGGAATCGGCTGTGTCCTGGGAATCCGAAATGAAAATGAAAAGCAACATGGGATATACAACCATGACCAGTTTTAATTCACAGCACAATGAAGTGATTAAACATGCAAAGGTCTCCGAAAAATAGAGGAAAACTCACAACTCCCGTGACCAAGGAGGCATTGATGGTGAACTTGGGGTTGCTCTGGTAGTCCTTGTAGAGAAGATTTGCACCACCAACAACCTCAACAACATGCACACAAAATAAAAAGCTCAAACAATTGAACAAAACAACGGTCGAGAAAATCCCGCGAGACGCACTTGAACAGAGAAACAAGCTCGAGACAATCGATGATGAAGGTGATGGAGAAGTGACCGTTAGCTTTTTTGCCAATGTTGAAGTAGAGAGCGAGCCACAAGAGAGAGAGGCATGGGACTCGAGTGAAGAAACTAGAAAGGGGCAAATGGCAATTAGAGTTTTGAACTTGATGTCCCTACATGAGCGTTCTGTGTGAACGAGAGGAGAGTGAAGTGAATTAGGGTAGTCTACTTAGGGCGCGTTTGGCAACGTGTCAAATAGTGAAAATTTCTGTTCTTTTGTTCCCAGAATCAGTTTGGGAACAGAAATCCGTTTGTTAAAATTTTTGTGCCCGGGCACAATTTTGCAAAAAATTGATCCCAGAATCAGTTTTAGAACAGAATCAAGAAGCAAAAAAAAGTAGTTTCTTGATTCTGGAACAATTTTTCCAGAACTGATTCTTCTTGGTTTTCTTCTTTCTTTTTTATTTATTCTTCATCTTCTTCCCGGCCCACCGCCGGCGACCGGCCAGGGCCGGCGAGGGTGGCCCTCGTCGCCCCTGGCTATGGCGAGGTCAGCCTCGCCTTGGCCGGGTGAGGCTCGACCTCGTCGTGATCTGGCGAGGCCAACCTCGTCGTCGCCACCCCCCGCGACGGCGAGGTCGGCCTTGCTAGATCTGGGTGAGGTCGAGCCTCACCCGGCCAAGGCGAGGCCGACCTCGCCGTCGCCAAACCCCCCCCCATGGCCGGGCGAGGCTTGACCTCGCCAAGATCTGGCTAGGCCGACCTCGCCATCGCGACCGGCGAGGGCTACGACGGCGCCGGCGACCGGCCATGGCCAAGGAAAAAAAAGAAAGAAATATTAAAACATTCAAAATATTATTAATTAAAAGAAATTTTGTGTAGTTACTAAACGCATTTCTGTTTTTTTTTTCTATTCTAAGAATAGAAATTTTGAGCAGTTACCAAACGCCTTCAAATGCTTAGAAATTATTTCCGGGCACATAATAAAAAAGAATCATTTCTGACCAGAATCTGTTTCCGGGCACAGAATGGTTGCTATGCGCATCCTTAATGAAGTGAAGTGAATTAGGGCAAACTAGTTATTTAGGTTTTTATTTTTTTAATATAATAATTATATATATATGTCTGTTCCAGGTGGGTGAGTCCACACCCGGAACTAGAAATTGGATCGATATTCATCGGTTCTAATTTTTGGGAATCAAGAATTGCCTAGAACCAGCCTATTTGATGCGGTTTGGGTGATTTCTTTTGCTCATCCCTACCTAGTACGGTCATGGCCATTTTTATTCGTGGGAAAAATTGGAATTTCCGTGTATGAAATATCGACACTTGTGGAGGAAGTTTCGAAGGCCCTCCTTTGTAAGTCTTGCAGTTCAGATTCTATCCTACCAAAGCAAAAAAATGTTCACACTTGTTGCGCAAGTTTCATGGCCTTCCATCTGAAGGCTTGGAGAAAGTTAATTTTCTATCCTATCAAAATAAAAAAATTTCACTTTCTTTCTTTCTTGGCCTTTTCTGATTGGTCCGACACTTGTCGCACTCCCACTTCCAGATTCCACATCATTTAATAATCTTTCTGCCAATTATTTCAATCATTTGATAGTCGAACTTCACATCCATCAATTTGGGATCATCATCAATGAATATAAAAATTAGGGAAATACCCTGAATAACATAACACTATTTATTATTTATTACATCTCAATTAGTAGAAAATACAACCCGAAATAAAAAGAAAGCACGACTCTCAAGCTAAGAGACGTACAAATTATGAAACTACATATATTTCACTTCACTCCCAAAGCCACACTCACAATACCAACTACATCACAAGTAAAAAAACCCACGCGCTCACGCACGCTCCTTCCAAATCACGATCCACCATTGTCGTACGTTGTAGTAGAGATGTCTTCATAAATTGCCTCAGCCTGACCGGAATAATTTGCTGAGTTCCTGCATGGAGTTGTCATCAGAGAAATCAAAGAAGGACGACGGTCCTTCGTCTGCTCCTGCCTGTGGCTGATAGGTTGGAGTGTTGATGTAGTTTGATATACAGTCATCCAGTGTCTCCAATGGAGAGAGCGAATTCATTATCTCTTCCAGTGACGTCTGCATTCAAAACATATAGATTATATAAAACAACTCTCTTAAGTATTTTTGTTTTTATGTTACAGAAACAATCTTGAAAGTATGAAATGAATATAATTCCACAAATGTTGCCTATGTGATGGTGCGATCATTAGTAATTTGGCCATAGAAAACCAATGAGTGTCTGTGATTTTGTTATGCTCTATAGGACTTGGGACTACATCCGACCCTAAATAAGTTCTACAACATAAAGTATGTGTCTCTTACCTGGGGTTGAGCATCAGCAGCTACTTGGTGATCAGCAACTTCATTGTTGAGGGTGTTGCAGTAGCTCGGCAAGTCCCCTTCTTGATTCACAGGGGGGTTTGATACATCGCTAGTGCATGTGTAAGGGCTGCTTAAATAGCCTTCAGGGCCAATTGTTAGAGCGTGATCCATTGTCGTTTTCTTGTCTTTCTTGTACTTGATCCGACATGCTACATAAGGCAGCATCTGCATATATGTATGTTTGAGCGACATCAGTAATAGAGAAACAACCCATTACTAAAAAGCATGTCTCAAACATTATTTATAACCAATTGCGTTGTGCAAATGAACGAGAGCCAAAATGTTACCTCGCCTTCTTCGTGATTATCGCCCAAACACTTGGATTTTAGGTGATACTCGTGCATGACCCAGTTGGTCCTTTTGCCATCAGGCACGCGACCTTTGTAGAACACCAATGTCTTCTTGATTCCTATCTGCTCGTTGGTGTTCTCGCTCATGATGCGGCGTTCCTTCCCGGTCACTTTCCAGTAACCGGCTACTGTCGTCCGGTTGGAGCGCTTGCTGTTCAAGTATTTGCGCTTCATGCAGCAATAAAAAAACAGTTCCTTACTGTTGAACATGTGACCGGCAATGCCTGGCAAGTCCCAAGGTTCGTACTTGCATAAGTCAATCTCTTGGATTATGTTGTAGTAGAGTTCGTCGGGTTGTCCGAGAATCTTCGGTTTCAAGTAAAGAATCAGCAGCTCCTCATCAGTGGCATGGAACCTGAATCCTGGAGGGAGTAAATTCACGACTTCTGAGATTGTGTCTTCCATTTGGCTCCGCAACTGGTGCAAGCAGAGAGAAGAACAAGACCAAAGGACTAAGATTTTGTGTGGGGTTTGAAGAGCGGTAGGATTAACATTGGCCAAGGGCGGGGAATTTATAGGGTGGGATAGTGCCTTGACTCATTGACTGACATCACTCTGTATACCTTTTCTTTTTCTCTTTTTTATGTTCGCCTTCCTTCCCAGGTGAGTTTGTCTCGCTTGCTGGAGAAGTGCAAAACCACACTGTTCATGATGATTGGACCCCTCGTCCTATGTTTGAATATTTTTAAGAATGCTTTATGAAGTCGACTGCCGAACCCCATGCATGATCAAGAACGTTCATACGACGTGCCAAAGTCTAATCAGCCTCCTCTCTCTCGGCACGCATGAATCTTTCTTTCAACCCAGAAACCAAAACTAGGGTTTTATATATTGCATTAGTGGAGCATTTTTTTATTAGATAAGATGCATTTCTTATTGTAAGATTTTATGATTGTCTCTAATGATTAAAGATAATCAAGATTAGTAAGTGTCGATGTTCACTGCAGTATAGTCACAAAGTTTGTCGACTCCAACGAAGTTCAGGCATCCTAACATGCTTGTATGAACATATATTTGATTTTAAGGTATGATATATAGAAGTTTCTGAAATTTTATGTCGATGGTATTGTTTCATCAAACAGGAAATCTTATCCTACGGTCTAAGCTTCATCTTCTTTCGTTAAATTTGTTGGAAATGAAGAATGTGGCATACTTTAGTGATTTTTCTTTTGCTAAAGGCACACTTTAGTGATTGAGACTAGACGATTAGTGTCCTCACATGGAAATTATAAATATCAAAAACCTTTTGGACTTCTTGTTGAAATTCTAAGCCTTGTTCCCAAAGGGTAGCACTTTCTTCCCGGACCCACACGCGATGGAACTTCAGTTAGGTTATTCTTTTCCCCCACACGTTTCTTTATTCACTCCTTTTTCGCTTACTATATTGTTTACGAGTTTCTAAAACATATATTTATAAATAATTATAAAATTTGGTAGAATGAAATTCTGTGGTAGAGTGACATCATCTCGGCGCTTTCTTACCTCTCACTTCTCTTAACATTAATTAGACATGTTCGTTTAAATAATTAGAAAAAATTTAATCAACTCATTTCTTTTAATATAATATTTCTAGAACAATATAGAAACATCAAATTTGCCTTATGTGTCATTCTTGGAAAAACAACTTGCGTGTCCACTATTGAGGGTATTGTATTGAAGAAACGATTTGCTTCGTGGCTTCATATTAATGGGATAATTGTCTAAAAAGCCCAAAACATATTGTTGGTGGCTAATTTAATCTTAAACCTTTCAATTTTACTTATTTAGTCATAACCTTTTGACAATTTGCCAATTTAGTCATAAACCTTTTAACAATTTGTCAATATAGTCTTTTTGGCTAATTTTAGTGGAAATCGCTGATGTTAAGATCTAGTTAGTGCCAACCATTCTACATGGCATGATCGGTGTTGACATAGATGCTTCTTGTAATTTTTTTGAATATTTTCATTTTTGCCTTTTCTTTTTTTTTTTTTTTTTTCTTTTTTCCTTAATTGGATTTTTGGCTAGGTAAGGGGGTCGCGGCCCACGTCTGTTGGCCAGCAAGGGTCAAGACCCCCTCGCCCAGACCAAGTAAGGCTGTCATGGCCCTTGCATGTGGTCAGCTAGGGTTGCGATGTCCTTGCCTGGTTTGGGCGGGGGCCTCTGCACCCTTGCCCATGGTTGGTGGGAAATATGATTAAGGAAAGAAAAGAAAAAAGATAGTTTAAAAAAATTACAAAAATTGCCCATGTTAGCGCCAACTATGCCATGTAAGATGGCAAGTGTCCACGTGAGCAATTTTGCTTAAAATTGCTCGAAAGTACTAAATTGGCAAATCATCAAAAGGTTTATGATTAAATTAACAAAATTGAAAGGTTTATGACTGAAATGATTGCCGTAAATAGGTTTAGGATTTTTTGGACTATTTTCCCTTATATTAATACGAGATTCCTCAAATAGAAACTAAGCTCTGCGTATGATGGCAGTTCATATATGATTGCTACAGTGTGGAACAATTTATATTTTTATTTTTATTGCTAAGTAAACTTTCATTTGTTATGTTTCTCCTTTTCCATTTCTCTTTTAAATTCTCATAGAATTGCAAGTTTTAGGACTTATACTAAGTATAACTTTATATGTGCGCATGGCATTGATATAATAATTTAACTACAGTATTTAATTTAATTTTCAGAGTAATGATGAATAGATATTAAAAAACATTTTTATTACGCGGTCTTGCTCTCAAGTTTTATTAGAATCAATTTTGTAAGTAGAATAGCTTTAATCAGAGATGTTGTGGGTTTTTCGATTGAATGCAATCAGATTCATATCTCTGTAGAGAGTGGTACTTTTCTTTAACATATAGTCATTTTATCAAGGATGTTTGCCTTTGCAATCTGCCTTTAGTTGTTCATTGTTGAAAATATGTGTCGAGTTCCTAATTCAAGTGCGTTTCTTAATTTGAGTAGATTTCCTATTTGGGCGGTTACCTAATTTGAGTAGGTTTATTGTTTTGGATCCAATTTTTATTTATATAAGAAGTGGATATTTTCACGAAAAGTATCCAAGAGGTAACTTCTCATGAATTACACTTTGAAGCAATCCAAGAGTGTTAAAACCAATAAATATTGTGGTAAGATTTATGAATTCCTATGCGAGATTCAGAGATTGTTTCACGATAAATTATGTGGACTAAATACTGTTTGAGTTATTATGGGTAATTAGGGGCTAAAAACTTACTTTGAGTGTTTGAATGACTTGAGTATAGTTGTAATCTTCGTTGTATTGCTTGATTTATAGAGTAATTCCATGCTTCTCTTCCCATAGATGTAGGTTCTACTAACCGAACCACGTAAATCTATAGTGCGATTTATTTTCATGTTTTATTTATTTTATTGTTTTGATTGCTTGTTTCTTCGGCAATTGGTATTAGAGTCTAGCTTGATTGAGTTGAAGCAAATCGATGGTTATATAAGAAGGAAAAGTGAAAATCGACAAATTTGATGGGAATTATTTTTATTTTGGAAAATGCGGATTGATGATTGCCTTTATCAGAGAATTTTGTGCTTACCCATGTTTGGGAAAAAACTAGATTAAGTGGAACAAGCTGATCGGAAATTATTGGATAAATAGGCATTAGGTGTTATTCGGCCGACGTTGGCTTGTAATGCCACGTTTAATATCGTGAATGAGAAGTCCACCGTGTGTTTGATGAGCGCCCTATTGAACATGAATAAGAAGCCCTTTACGATCAATACAGTCTACTTGATGCATCGTCTATTTCATTTTAAGATGGATGAATGTGCATTGGTTGCTGATCATATTAACGTGCTTGTTAGTCAGTTGAGTTCGGTTAAGATTGACTTTTAAGATGATGCATGCGTTTTGATACTATTATCCTCATTTCCTAATGGTTGGAATGTTAATGTTACTGTTGTTAGTATTTCCTATAGGTCAGGAAAATTAACGTTAAATGATGTTCGCAATTTGATTTAGAATAGAGTTTTGCTGTTTTAGTAGGTTAAGGTAGAGGAAGAACTGGTATTCATGTTAATGTGAATTTGAACAATTGGAGTTAGTTTAGGACCGGTGGTGTTGTCTAGTTGTGGCAATGTGGGGTATCTTAAAAGGGATTGTTTCAAATTGAAGAATGAGAAGGGTAAAGGAATTATAGCTAAATCTACTAATGACTTTGTGGCTGCAGCTAACTATAATTTGGATAGTGTTGATTATGTCTTATTTGTCACTAAGAATTTGTCGCTTGATGGATGTATTATTATGGATTTTGGTTGTTCGTTTCACGTGACATCAAATAATAATCAGCTTACTACTTATCAATACATGGATAATAGTGGTAAAGTGCAATTGAGGAACAACGCTGAGTGCGATGTTATGGGTGTTGGCAATGTCAAAATTAGAATACATGATGGTATCGTGAGGAGTGAGGCACATTCCAGAGTTGAGGAAGAATTTGATTTCTTTGAGTGCCATGGATGCAGCTAGGTGTTGATATACTTTAGAAGGTAGAGTTATGAAAGTCGATCGAGATACTAGTGATAACGAGAAGAATCAAGCACAGTGGCCTGTGCAAGCTTCAAGGTGAGAGAGTGATGGATTTATTGTAGAGACGCAGAATGCGTCTATTTGGGAGGTTGAATTGTGGTATATATATTTGTGGCACATAAGTGAGAGAAGCTTGGAGATTTTAAGTGAAAAGAATCTGCCGAACTATGTGGCTGAAGAGCTCTATGCAGGTGCTTGAACAACAGACGAAACAAGAACCACCACTCCGCCTCCTTTGACCTCACAAGTGAGCATGCTACAGACACATGGAGGTCAGTGAGCTTAGGTTAGTGCGGTGTTGAAAATTAATGCCAACTAGGAGAACCATCAAATTGTTTTTGGATAATCATTTTTTTTTCTTTGCACTAGACGATATTACACGAGCCATTTCGAAGTAAGAAAACAAAGCAGCCGCAAAAGGGGTCCCTGGAATACTGCAGGGGTCAACTTCATATCCAAGAATTTGTCATCTCAAGTAATAATTGTCAAGTTCCTCGTCGGTGAGGGGTGAAACGAGTAATATTGTTTATAAAAAATACGAATGGGAACGAGGCAGGACATTCTCGAGTCTTGAGAACTCGACTCTCAAACACAATTTTTAGTAACTTGTTGGTAGCTGAACTGAAGCAGAGTGACCCTCAAAGCACTAGTTTGAGCTTTTAGATGGTGTTTTCGGATGCCATACCAAAAGCATTGACTTGACTTTGACTTATCGGTGTCTTTATGCAGTCCTTCCCTTGCTTCAGAAGAGAGCTTTTTGTAAAGTGAAAAATAGAGAAATGTTGACAAGATAGGTGAGATCGACAACTTTGTCAACGAGCAGGAGTTCGAGTGGCCAGAATTGAATTTCCAATTGCTTGATTACATGTGATTAACTGAACTTCTTATCCTCGTTATTTGTATCTGTTACGCTCGGACCACAAGAAGTCATCTTTCATTTTTCAGATCCAAGAATATTCTTGCAACTGTTAATTTCACATTGGGATCGGGCTCAATATTGTAATTTCCGAACATAAAGGCGCAAAAGAGTTGAAACCATTTTGAAACGGAAAAGAACTTAGTCATCAAGAGCCATCCAGCAACAGTTGCATCTAAAGGAATGTTGCATATGAACCACAGATCTGTTGTGGTTATCTCAAGCGCAGTTCAAGTTTATCAAAAGCCCAACATACTTTTACAGTTTTTCTTTTCTTTGAAACAAATCAAGAGGTCCAAAGATGAAAAAAAGCAGCATTTCCAAACGGAATGTTTGACTAATCTTTCTGGGCAGGGCTGGGGCAAAAAAGGCAGAAAGAATGAGAAATATTGATTGGTAATTCGGGGGTTGATATAACATCTCAAGTTTCATCTGCTCCCAGTTGAAATTTGCAATCTTCTTTAGAATTTCGTAACTTATAGTATTGTGCAAGGTAGATCCAATTCAACCTCGGAGGTACCGCCACAAGAACACAAAACAGAAACCCTCCTAGAAAAGCAGAGATCTGAAAACTCACTCCACGCGAATGGGAGAATGCAAGTCCAGAAAGAGAAAGATCCAAGCTGATTTTAACCTGCAATCGCTACAACTCTCACCGAGACCAAGGCAAAGAAAAAATGGATTTGGATCTTGGAGAATACGACCCATGAAGGACTCGCCAATCATTACTTGTGATTTCAAGAAGAAATGGCGTTGACATAACAAAAATCCCAAGTAAGATTGACGAGTGATTCAGGGATCATATTGGGTCGTAATGAATCTCGAACAAGCAAAAGATGCAAGCAAAAAGATGAAGTCTTGATCTAGACGGGTGGGCTGCTTGATGCGCATCCGCCACTGTTGTTGATGGATCATATTTGTTTGAGTCTTTAGTGTTAAGGTTTGGTACGGTGTTTTTACTTATTAGGTTGTAATTATATTATAAGATATATTTGTCTAAGTCTGAATCTTATGTACTGTCTTGTGTTTTTTTTTTTGCACAATTATTCCTACCTGTTGACTTCCTATGAAAAAAAAATACATGATGTAGGAATGATTTATTACATGATTTACGAATGATTTATTACTATCGACATTTTCTTTGTTTTACCATTAATAAATTACATTTCAAATTATTAAAAAAAATTTTAAAAAAAGAAACCAAAATATTGCAAATTGGGCTAGCACAGCTAGCCTTTATCACGGGTCGTGCCTAGCACGACGCATAAAAGTGTTAGGCCTTCACGGGCCGTTCTGGCACGATCGTGGCCAAGTGGAAAATTTTAATCTATAATTGGACTTTTCATGTATGAAATATCCACGCTTGTGGAGGAAGTTTCAAAGGCCATCCTTTGGAAGTTTTGTGAGTTTAGATTCTATCCTATCAAAGTCAAAATATTCACACTTGCTGCGCAAGTTGCAGGGCCTTCCTTCGGAAGGTTTGGAGAAAGTTAATTTTCTATCCTATCATAGTCAAAAGATCTCACTTTCTTCTTTCTTGGCCTTTTCTGATTGGTCCGACACTTGTCGCACTCCCGCTTCAAAATTCCACAGCATTTAGTAATCGTTCCACCAATTACATCAATCATTTGACAGTCCAACTTCACGTCCACCAATTTGGGATCATCATCAATGAGGATACAAATTAGGGAAATACACTGAATAACATCACACTATTTATTTATTTATTACATCTCAACTAGCAGAAAATACAACCTGAAATAAAATAAAAAAAAGCACGACTCGCAAACTAAGAGACGTACAGATTATGAAACTACATAGGTTTCACTTCACTCCCAAAGCCACACTCACAATACTAAATACATCACAAGTAAAAAAAAGCCCACACGCTCTCGCACGCTCCTTCCAAATCATGATCGACCATGGTCGTACACTGTAGTAGAGAAGTCTTCAAACGTTGCCCCAGTCCAAACCGAAGTCGCTCCAAGCAGATGGCATGTATCCGTTGTCAAAAAAGGGCGAAGATCCTGCCTCTGCTCCTACCTGTGGTTGATAGGTTGGGGTGTTGATGTAGTCTGATACATAGTAATCCAGTATCTCCAACAGAGGGAGCGATTTCATCGACTCTTCCAGTGACTTCTGCATTCAAAACATGTAGATTATATAAAACAACCCATCTTAAAAGTCTTCTTTTTATGTTACAGAAACAATCTTGAAAGTATGAAATGAAAGTAGTCCCACGGATGTTACTTATATGATAGTGCAATCATTAGTAATTAGGCCATAGAAAACCAATGAGTGTCTTTGATATGCTCTATAGGACTTGGGACTGAATCCGATCCTAAATAAGTCCTGCAACATAAAACATGTGTCTCTCACCTCTGGTTGAGCATAATCAGCTGCCTGTGGCTGATAAGTTGGAGGGCTGTTGAAGTCTGATACACAGTCATCCAGTGTGAGCGACTCCATTAACGATTGCACTGACATCTGCATTCAAAATATGTACATTTTATAAAACAACCTATCCTAAAGTAAATTTTCTTTTTTTGTTACAGAAACTATCTTGAAGTAATGAAAATAGTCCCACAGATGTTGCTTAAGTGATAATGCAATCATTAGTATTTTGGCCATAGAAAACCAATGAGTGTCTGTGACTTTGATATGCTCTATAGGACTTGGGACTAAATCCGATCCTAAATAAGTTCTACAACATAAAGCATGTGTCTCTCACCTCGGGTTGAGCATCAGCACCTCCTTGGTGATCAGCAACTTCATTGTTGGGGGTGTTGCAGAAGCTCGGCAAGTCCCCTTCTTGATTACCAGGGGGGTCTGATTCACTGCTGGTGCATGTGTAAGGGCTGCTTGAATAGCCTTCAGGGATGATTGTTGGAGCGTGACCCATCATCGGTTTCTTGTCTTTCTTGTTCTTGATCCGACATGCCACATAAGGCAGCATCTGCATATATATGCATGAGCGACATTAGTAATAGACAAGCAACCCGTTACTAAAAAGCATGTCTCAAATGTTATTTATAACCAATTGCGTTGTGCAAATGAATGAGAGCCAAAATGTTACCACGCCTTGGACGTGATTATCGCCCAAATGCTTGGAATTTAGATGATACTCGTGCATGACCCAGTTGGTCCTTTTGCCTTTAGGCACGCGGCCTTCGTAGAACACCAGCGTCTTCTTGATTCCTATCTGCTCGCTGGTGTCCTCGCTCATGATGGGGCGTTCCTTGCCAGTCACTTTCCAGTAACCGGCTCTGGTCGTGCGGTCGGAGCGCCTGCTATTCAAGTACTTGCACTTCACACGGCAGTAGAAAAACTGCTCCTTCCGGTTGAACATGTGATGGAACATGGCGGGCAATTGCCAGGGCTCGAATTCGCATACATCAATCTCCGGAATTATGTTGGAGTAGTGTTCGTCGGGTTGTCCAAGAATCTTGGGCTTCAAGTAAAGAAGCAGAAGTTCCTCATCAGAGGCATGGAATCTGAATCCTGGAGGGAGTGAGCTCATGACTTCTGAGAGTGTGTCTTCCAGTTGGATCCTCATCCTCGTGCAAGCAGAGAGAAGGACTAAGATTCTGTATGTGGGTTGGGAAAGCTGTGTGATTAACATTGGCCAAGTGCGCCGAATTTATGGGGTGGAATCGTGCGTTGACTCATCGACTGACATGACTTTGTAAATATTTTTCTTTTTCTTTTTTTGTGTTCGCCTTCCTCCGCAAGTGAGTTGTCACGCTTGCTTGAGAAGGGAAAAGACCACACTGTTCAGTGCTGAATGGACCCCTCGTCCTATGTTTGAATATTTTGCAGCATAGAAGTTGATTGCTGGACACCATATGCATAATCAAGACCGTTCATACGACATGCCAAGGGCCAATCTGCCTCCTCTCTCTCGGCATGCATGAATCTTTTTCTTAACCCATAATTCGAAATTAGGTTTTTAAACTTGGCATCAAGTCTTCACCACTTGTTGTTGAACATTTTTTTTTATAATATAAGCGGCATTTTTTACTATAAGATTTTGCGGTTTGTCTCTAATATAATTGATGAACATAATCAAGAATAGTAAGTATCAATATTAACTGCTATTTATTCATCAAGTTTATGAACCCGTTAGAGTGGGGATTAATCCAATGGGGACACCAACAAAGTTCACACATCCTAACATGCATGCATGAACATATACTTGATTTTAAGGTATGATATACGGAAGTTTCTGGAATTTTTTTTGGACGCTCTTGTTCCATCAAACGAGGAATCTTATCCTATGGTCTTATTTCATTAATATTGGTGGAGAAAAACAATGTTGCACACTTTAATGATTGAGACTATACCAATAGTGTCCTCATATGGAAAATATAAATAACAATAACTTTTTCGACCTTCTTGTTGAAGTTCTAAGCCTTGTTCCCAAAGGGTTGCACTTTTTCCCCTAGACCCACATGTGATGGCACTTTCAGTTAGGTTATTCTTCCCCCCACATGTTTCATTGTTCACTCATTTTTGCTTACTATATTGTTTTCGAATTATCATGTTGAGGAGGGGCAGGTGGTAGGTTTATAAGTATGAGGAAAAATCTCACCCTTTGAGCTAACTTTTGGGATGAGAGAAGCCTAAGACCACTCAACACTAGTATGAGAGCCTAGGTTGTTAAGAAGTTTGGACACAACAGTCACACGTGAGAGTTATGGGTTGTAGTGGCTTCGATCCAGCCTGATGCGTGAGGGAGAGATTATTAAGGTTGTCTCACATCGGTTGTGAAAAGGGCTAGTGGTCGGTTTATAAGTGTGAAGGAAAGTCTCACCCTTTTAGCTAACTTTTGAGGTGAGAGAGACCCAATACCACCCAACAGTCACACGGGAGAATTATGGGTTGTTACGGCTCCGACCCAAGCCAAATTTGTAAAGGGGAGATTATTGAGGTTGTTTCACATCAGTTGTAGAAGGGGAGTGTGAGGGAAAGCCTCACTTTTTGAGCTAGCTTTTGGGGGTGAAAGAGGCCCAACACCACTCAATATTGGTATCATATACTAGGTTGTCAACAAGTCTGGACCCAACAGTCACACATGAGAGATATGGATTGTTGCAGCACCAACCCAGGGCCCGATATGTGAGGAGGAGATTGTTGAAGTTGTCCCACATCAATTGTGGAAGGGGCTGATAGTCGGTTTATAAGTATGAGGGAAAACCTCACCCTTTGAGCTAACTTTTGGACTAAAAGAGGCCCAAGACCACCTAACACTAATATCAGAGCTCAGGTTATCAACAAATCTGGACCCAATAGTTACACGGGAGAATTATGGGTTGTTGCGGCTCTGACCTAGGCCCGCTGGTAATCAGTTTATAAGTATGAGGTAAAAGTTTTACCTTTTGAGCTAGCTATTGAGGTGAGAGAGACTCAAAACCACTCAATGTATCGTACATATATCTATAAATAATAAAGTTTGGTAGAATGGAGTTTCGTGGTAGAGTCACATCGTCTCGGCGCTCTATTACCTCTCACTTCTCTTAATGTTGATTAGACACGTTCCTTTATATTAACTAGAAAAAAAATTTAATCATCTCATTTCATCTAATATAATGTTTCTAAAACAGTATAACAACATCAAATTTGCCTTACTTATGTGTCATGCTTGGAAAAACGACTTGCGTGTCTACACTGTCCAGGGTACTGTATTGACGAGATTCTTCAAACAGAAACTATAAGTTCTAACTTTCATGGTAGTACGTATGTGTATTGAAGAAACGATTTGCTTCAAGGCATCATATTAATACGGAATTCCTCAAACAGAAACGAAGTTCTAAGTTTGATGGCAGTACATGTGTGTATTGAAGAAACGATTTGCTTCGAGGCATCATATTAATACGGGATTCCTCAATCAAAAACTAAGTTCTAAGTTTGATGGTAGTACATATGTGATTGCCACCACAATTTATTTTTATCGTTTTTAATTGCTAAGTGAACGTTGGTTTGTCATGTTTCTCCTTTTCCTTTTCCCTTTTAATAGTATAACTGGTGAATTTACTTTTATTTTTTCTGGAGTTATAATGATGAATAGATATTTGAAAAACAAATTTTTAATGCCGTCTTGCTCTCAAATTTTATGATGATTTTTTTTGTAAGTCGAATTAGCTTTAAATAGAGATGTTGTAGATCTTTCGATTGAATGCTTCAAGCTAAATTGGTTCTCAGCATGTCAAGGCTTTCTTCATTCTAAGACTCTCGGTGACTAAGAAATTACACTCAATAACCATTAATCGGTTTATAACATGCAAACTACATCGATTAATCTTCGACAGCGCGTGCACTTTCAACTCAAGTCTCAGATTCAAAATCAATGCAATTTTTTAATCCAAGCTATGAACAACAATCAAGCACGACATCGCCTCTTCAAGGTTTCCCGACACAAAACAAAGAAGAACAGGGATGGTTTTGTACCCTCTCGAGACCCGACAGCTAATGACAATAGGCGAAGGTGAGCGAGGTTCGACCGCGGTGAGGAAAAAGGCTTTTTTTTTTTAAAGCTATTTTCTCTCTTAAGGATGCACAAAATCAAGGCAACTAATCGTCAATGAATTTCAAGCAATAGTCAACAGCAGCGGAAGATGCACTAGTCAAGAGCAGCAGAGCTTACCGACGGGTGGTGCTCAACTAATCACCTCAATGATGGAGGCGGAGGAGGAGGAGGAGGAAGAGGAGAGGACGAGGGGACAACTAAGAAGACGTTAGTGCCAGTGAATGCAGAGATGGCGACGAGGACAGCGACGGCGACGCCGTCGACAGGGAGTTCGACTTCACCAATCTTCTGTGTCCCTGGCTAGAACCACGGCTCGATCTCTCTCTGACGACCTCTTCTTTAGAGGGAGCCCTTCGACCACGACTCCACTCCATCAAGCCTCTATCGTTTTCCAGCAGCTGAGAGAGAGCGTCCGGCATGGTCGTTGGAGGTATTCGTCGGATTTTGCAAGACTGAGAGGAGAGGGAGATGTGAGGTGTGGCATTTGAAATAAAAATAAGAGAGAGAGGAAGAAGACGCAGAAAGGAGACTGTAGAGGTGGCCACGGTTCGAACCGGCAGTTCCGGGCGTGTGAACCGGAACCGGTTTGCCGGTTCCGATTTTTTTCTATTTTTTTTCTTTTCCTTTTCCTTTTCTTTTTTTTTCTTCCTCCGCGGCCGGCCATAGCCGGGCCGGCGTGGAGGTCGCCGGCCTCAGCAGCGGCGGCGGCCGGCTCGGCTCGGCGCCGGGCGAGGCCGGCCTCGCCCGCCCGAGGCCGGGCTCGCCTCGCCCGAGTCGAGCTCCGTGCGAGGTCGAGCCTCGCCGGCGTCGGGCGAGGCCGGCCCCGCCCAGCCGGCGAGGGCCCCTCGCCCGACGCCGGCGACCTCCGCGCCGGCCCCGGCCATGGCCGGCCGCGGAGGAAGAAAAAAAAATCAAAATATAAATTATAATTTTAAAAAACAGAAACAAGGAAAAAAGACAAAAGAGAAAAAGGAAAAACAGAAAAGGAAAAGGAAAAGAAAAAGAAGAAAAGAAGAAAAGGAAAAACAGAAATGAAAATAAAAAAAATTAAAAAAATACTATTCTTGTGATAGAACATTATTCAATATAAATTGTGATTAAAATGTAAATTGTACTCAAATTTGGGGACAAAAAGACAAGAGAGAAAGAGAGGGCTTCAACTTAATAAATTATCATTAAGCACATTACAATTCGTTACAGCGATCTTAAAAAAAAAGGAGTACAATATATATACCCTAAAATTATCCCAAAACCTAAGCATTCCGTGCGCAGGGGACTAGAGGTCACATATTGTCGGATTATATTTCGGTTTCCCTAAGCTCACGTGGGCGTACCCGGTATGAGAAACAAGAGTTCCCGAAATATTTGCCAACTCCAATAGTTCTTTTACCCTCAATCGTCACTACCCGTTCCAGTACCGATACTGGTAGCGATAGTATCTCCGTCGTTAAAGAATTCGGATTCATTATTCCGATCTATCTCTTGTTGAAGGTATTGAGCCTTCGTCCAATCAGCAACACAAGCTTGCATCTCCACTGATTCTGGATCTAATCTTGAACGATGTTCGTTCAAAATATTACCTCCGGCACTGAATGCTTGTTCGACCGCAACTGTGGAACAAGGGGTTGAAAAAATCTGTTTTGCAATAAGAGAAATGATTGGGTATTGGCTTGCGTGCCTCTTCCACCAATCCAAAATAAAAAAATCTATACCACCTTCGGCTTCAGTAAACTCAAATAAAATGGTTAGATAACTCTCTAATTCAGAAATATTTCCTATTACTCCCTTTTGTTTTTTTTGTCTATGTAATAAAAGTTGGTACCCTCTACTAATTTTACCTGTATTGTCATTTTGTATCTCCGTAGATTGAGAAGATCTAATATCACCTAAATTATATTTAGTATAAAATTCATTATATAATTCTATTACTACGTTTTTAACCTCACGTACTATGGTTGTAACATTTGTCATATCATAATGTAAACATTGATAATACGCACGCAAAAATTCATTTAAGCCATCCAATTTGCAACGCGGATAAAAAACACAAGCAACTAAATAAATCATGGGAATTTCACTATAATAATGAAGCCATTTCATTTTCATTGCAACTATAGTATGTTGTAATTCAACATCATTTTCATATTCATCAAAAGTTCCGACAATATTAGTACACTCTACTAAAAATAAATGTGTAGTAGGATAATAAACACCAGACAAAGTATAAGTTGCATCATTAAAAATCTTTAAAAGATCTAAAATTTTTTGGCAAATATGCCACTCTTGTGGGTATAAATTAATCTGAGGTATATTATTAGAAATGAATGCACATAATAAATCTTTATATGCTAAAGATTTATTAAGCAAGTGGAAAGTAGAATTCCAACGAGTTGGAACATCTCTTGGAAATCTTTTTGGATTTTTGCCATTATCTCTACAAAATTTACCCCATTCTTTCATTTTTTTGGGATGTTTCCATAAAAATTGAATCGCCATTTTTATTGGTTGAAGAAAAATATCAAGAGTTTTCAAATCATCTTGTACACATAAATTTAAAACATGACAAGCACATCTAATGTGAAAAAATTTTCCGCCAAAAACGGGTTTACAAATATTTTCTAACTCGGCAATTGAAGCGGTATTTGCTGCGGCATTATCAAAACCAATTGAAAAAATTTTGTTAAGCAAATAATATTATTCTAAAACTTGCCTAATTATTCAATAAATATTATTTGCCGTATGATGATCATCGAAAACTCTAAATGCAATAACTCTTTTTTGAATAGTCCACTCGTCATCTATCCAATGACATGTTATGCCCACGTAAGAATGATTTTGCCAATGATCACTCCAAATATCACTACCTATATGCACGCATCCATTAAATTGCATAAAAAAGTTTTGTAAATCATTTTTTCCATTTTTGTAAAGATCTTTAATTACTCGTTTAATTGAATTTCTAGGAACACGTTTTGCTTGTGGAGCACATGCTTTTTGTACAAATTCATTAAAACCAAATCTTTCTCCAAAATTAAATGATAAATGCTCAACGGAAATAAATTTGCCTAATTCTTCCTTATAAGTTTTTTCATTAAAACGAAACAAAGGGGAAGTGTTAGGATTGACGTACCCGGAAATTTGTTGTTGCTCGATATCGATTCCCATTTCGGTTGGATGTTTGCTCATAAAATGTCGTTTAAATGTTCCATATCCTTGTCCACCTGTATATTTATATATTTTTTCACAATATTTACAAATTATATCATACCTTTTTTGACCGATATCAAACCTTTCCGTTTTCGTGAAGTGATTCCAAATGTCAGATGTAAATTCCCGTTCCGCTTTCTTTGTTGTAGATATTTCAGCAGGAGGATGAAAACTTTCTTGCGTCGGGACGCGCTCCACATCGCGAAAAATGTTGATTTCATCATCTTGAAAATCTGCATATTCACGAGGATCAAAAGAATGATGGGATTCCGTCGCGATATTCTTACCTTTGCCAGTTGGCACTCGACTTCCACTTGCCATTTTTCGAATGGATTGAGAGAATTGAGCGGATTAATTGGGAGAATTAAGAAAGAATTGCGTGGATTGAGAAAATTGAGAGAAGAGAAGAGAATTGGAGAGAATTTGAGAGAATTGTGTGTATTGTGAGAATTTGAGAGAATTTATAGGAAAAAAATAGAAGAAAATTTAGAATTAAAAAAAATAAAACATAACCGTTGCAAAATTGCAACGGTTATGTGTTTTTTTTTATTTTATAAAAACGCCCGTTGGGGCATAGCCGTTGCCCCAACGAGCCGCAAGGTGCAAGCCCGCAGCGGGGCTCGCACGTCTGCGGAGCCCCGCTGCGGATGAATTTTTTTTTTTTATTTGGGTTTGGCCGTTGCCCGGCACGGGCTGCTGCAGGCTGTGCTGCAGACTGCCTGCAGTTTTTTTTTTTAAATTTTTATTTATTTATTTATTTTTTTCGCAGAACCGGCGGTTCCGGGCCGGTTCAAATTTTTCTGGAACAGGAACCGGGCCCGTATGCCACGGGCTGGTTCCGGTTCCGAACCGCGGGCCCAGTCAACGGGCCGGGCCTGGGTTTGACCGGGCCGGTTCCGGGCCAAAACCGGCCCGTGGCCACCTCTAAAGGAGAGAAAGAGCGCCCGCGTAATTAAAGAGGAGAGAGAGGGGGGATGCTGACAAGCCTAGAAACTTTTAAGTTTTCATCTTTTTTTAATTTCCATGTCACGAACACGTGTCACTCTTTTGATGAATCATATAGGTCACTTGGGCAAGTGACGTGGTGGCATGATACCACTGAATATTTTCTCATCAATAGGACATTCTTCACAAGGGATAATTCTTATGTTGTTTATGCATACTCTCTTAATTTTAGGTTTCCTTATGCAATTTGTTATCGCAGCAAATCTTCTAGGTCTCCCTGCCATTTCTATCCCTGTGAGCGACACTTGGTTTGCATATGCAATTTCACGTGATTTATGTGTCTGAATTCTTTTCTTCGTTTGCACAATAACTGTCATTTTAGACCACTGACAACTAATCTCGTGCCAAGAAATTGAGTTATAGTTCATTGAGCTGAGGAAACAAATTGCACTAATAGAAGAAGTGCTCTTTTTATTGGCGGCCCAAGTGGAACAGTAGTACGTCTTATGCCAGCCTGATCTAAGTGGCAGGACACATTTAAAAAATGGGAGTTTCTTATACAGAAAATTAAAATAGAATTTGGTAGATTTTGATCACAGTTTTTGCCTGAACAAATTTTTTGGACTATACTGATTCAGTATCACATTGCTGACTGGTTAAGCACGCGAGCGAGCTAATCCACCTTCAATATTTCTCAATTTGCTACAGTGATAACTTGAATATTTTGGCAGCCTGAAAAGCGGCCTAGATGTTTCCATCGATTAAAGCTCCTCATACAGAAGTTCCTTATTGTTGAATCAATTAACCCTTTTCTGCTCACCTGATATGCTCTCGTCTTCTTCCACCGTGAATATACCTCCAATCATCTCAAGGGAAATATGTGCCTTTGTTCATTGCCCCACCACTTTGATGTAAATAGTTTCCATCTAATAGTTCTTGGTTCAAGCCAGATTGTGTAGACTACTTCTGGGTGAGGCTTGGCCTTGATGGACTTGGGCACGGGCACCGGTATCTGAGTCCCAGGCCCAACCTTGAATGAATCAGGCTCGGCGCCAGGGTCCCGGCTCCGGACGTTGGGATTCGGGGCTTGGCCTCAATGGATGCAGGCCTAAGCGTTGGGGACCTAGGTCCTACCTTTATAGACCCAAATCGGGGCGCTAGGGAGCCAGGCACGGGCACCGAGTTCTCAGGCTCGGTTTCAGTGGACCCAATACCAATGCCTGAGAGTCGAGCATGCGGGCTTGGAATCTCGGTGCTCATGCCAGGCTCCTAGGTTACCCATGTGCAAGTTACTAGCACGGGAATAGTGTCTGTCTATTTAGGAAAATCAAATG